GGAACAAATTTGTTTCTTTCAGGTTTCTTTTTTCCACTTAAACTGAAAGTTCAGGCAGTGTACATGCTTGCAGGATAAAATGTAGAACCTGTGTGGTGTCCTCTAGCAAATCTCAGCCCATGTCATTTAGAACTTCATTAAGAATCCTGTGGAGAATTATCTGTAGGATGATCAAGCACGAAATGTGCTTCTGCTATGCAGATTGCTTTAATGTCCTGGACAACAACAGCCTTGCTGTTTGTTGTGGTGGAGTGGATCTTAGTTTTATCCCTCAGCCAGGAATTAGTCATCTCTCCTGTAAGCAAGAAAGCTACAACACATAAAGGCTTTTGGAGGAGAAAATGCCTTCATGTTTGGCATTGGTTGAAGTGGTCCTTCTGCTTTGCAGTGTAGTGTATTGTAGGGAGGGCAACTGAGTCTTGAAACCGTAAAGCAAAACCCACATCAAGCTGTTTTTGTGTACTTGAATGTTGAGAGTTCTCCCGCCTGTGCTAAAAAGACATTCTGTTCACTGTGCCTGTGCCAGCTGGTGCTAGCTAACTCACAGGGTCCAGTGGCATCTGCTCTGAATCAGAACCAAGTGCTGCCAGTCAGATGTGTTTCGATAGCGATGGTCTTCTGTGGGTCTTCTAGTGGGCCGGTTAAAGGAGGATGATGATGGCAAATAATGGAATGATTCTTGCCACTTCATTCCTTGTACGTGCAGTGAATGGGCATTCATAACACCTCATGTATATACACAGGCCTTTGTTCTTGTGCTAATAATAAAATGGAGTTCACAGCTCTGAGTGTTGGACACGATGTGACAAGAACTGGGTCAAGATTGTTCATGTGTGCATAAATGTGCTCCTAATCTAGGCCAATGGCTGTGCTGGGTGCTTCTAAACAAGCTATAAAGATTTCAGAGGGGCTGGAGTTTAGCTGTCAGATGCATGAAGTGCACCTCTTGCTGAGCAGAGCACTTAAAGATCAGGATCCAAATTGCATGGTCTTCAGTTGCTTTGCATGTTAATGCGAATAAAGGAGAAGCTTTGCTGTTTGGTACTCCTGGAGAGCAAGGAATTTAGTTTGAGCCAAAGGAAATTTTCTTCTTACTGGCAGGATGAGTTGCTGAGCAGTCCTTTAAATATGTTCCCTGCTTTGTTGTGGACATCCGTGCTACCTCAGTTTCCTTGCAGGTATCATCAGGGAAAAGATGATGGGCTGACTATCCTGCTGTGTTGCTGTTGTGTCCTTCAGGCTTGCTGCAGTAGCTGGGCTTGCTGCCTTTCATGGAAGAATGAACCAGGCTGCCTCTTCCTGGACTGTTACTGAGATGCAGCTTGGTGCTTGTGTCTTTGTAGAGAAAGACAGCCAATTTTCATCTGAATCCACTAGGATATTGGAGGTTTATTTCTGGAGAGGCTATGAAGGAGTTTGATTGGATTGTGATAGTCTTTGTGTTGTGATTTATTTTTCATCCAACTCTCCTAGGCCATTTGTTCTTGAAGCTTAGCTCTGTCATGTAATGCAAGCTGTAATATATAGTCAATGTATAGTTCAGCTTTCATAATGTGTGGCACATTGCCACTGTTCCCTGAAAGTAGTCTGGCAAAAATTCATAGCTAAGTTTTTTATTTTTATTTTTTAAACAATGGAGAAAAGGGCAGGAAAGGAGTAGTG